TTCCCTAAATCAAGAGCCCCTCACCAACATCAAGGAACCTTCCTTGAGGGGAATTAATAAAGGAGATGTCAATAGCGTGCTAAAAATATCTAACATAGACAGGACTCACAGCAGTGGCTTTAAATTGGAAAATTTCAGATTCAGGAAGGATATAGGAAAGCACTGGTTTGGTAATAGAGTTCTGGATGAGTGGAACAAACTCCCGAGTACAGTCAAAGACGCTAAGACATTGCGCAGTTTTAAAAATAGGTTAGATAAATACATGAGTGGGTGTGGGTGGGTGTGAGTTGGACCTGACTAGCTTGTGCTACTAGGTCAGATGCAGTGCTCCTTCCTTAAGTGAAGTGTCTGACTTCACTAGGTTAAGGCATTGGCTTAAGCCGGTGGGAGAATTGGACCTGTCTCGTATAGGCCAGTAGGCCTCTTGCAGTGCTCCTTCTTTCTTATGTTCTTATGTTCTAAAGACCATAACAAGAGAAAGATCACGACAGCCAGGAAGATGACGGGGTGGGAAATGAGAACTTTCAAAACAAGGGAAATAATGCCGATGGTGACACTCTTCAAATCGCTAGTGCTCCCTCACTTAGAATAATGCTCAGTGCTGACGGCCCCGTTCAGGGCAGGAGAAATATCGGAGCTGGAACAAATACCGTTTACGGCTCACATTGAACCAGTAAAGCACCTAAATTACTGGGAACGCCTTCAAGTCTTTAATATGTACTCATTGGAGCGGAGGGGAGAGAGGTACATGATAATATATACCTGGAAAGTACTCGAGGGCCTGGTCCCAAATCTGCACACTGCCATAACAACATACCGGAGTGAGAGATATGAGAAGAAGTGTAAAATAAACCGGGTGAGGAGCAGGGGTGCGGTATCAACACCCGGGGTCCCAGACTATTCAACAACTTACCAGAAGATATCAGAAACGCGGCTGGAACAAGTGTAGATGCATTCAAGAGGAAACTGGACAAGTATCTTCACCAGGTACCAGATCAACCAGGCTGTGATGGATATGTGGGGCGGCGGGTTTCCAGCAACAACAGCCTGGTTGATCAGGCAAGCACCGGAGGACCCTGGCTCATGGCCGGGCTCAGAGAGTAGTGAAACTTTCGAAACTCTTCAAAGGTAGATAAGTGCTAGTATAGCTGTTTTTATATATATATATATATATATATATATATATATATATATATATATATATATATATATATATATAATATATATATATATATATATATATATATATATATATATATATATATATATATATATATATATATATATATATATATATATATATATATATATATATATATATATATATATATATATATACATATATATATATATATATATATATATATATATATATATATATATATATATATATATATATATATATATATATACAATAAGATCACAGTAAACAGGTGATTCAGAATATGCAAAACAACCACTCTGAAAGAATAGAGAAATTCCAAGCGCTTTCGTGACTACTCACATTATCAAGGATAATGTGAGTAGTCACGAAAGCGCTTGGAATTTCTCTATTCTTTCAGAGTGGTGTTTTGCAATATATATTATATATGTATATATATATAATATATATATATATATATATATATATATATTATATAATATATATATATATATATATATATAATATATATATATATATATAATATATATGCAAGGAATTCGCAAGAGCATGCGAAATATACACAAACACTGATCTCTGGCTGAAGGAGACTCGAACCTACGAACCTTAGGACAAGGTACGCAGTGCTTTACCAATCTACCCACACTGGACCAATACCTTGGCGTGTAGCATGAGCTACACGTTTGATCCAAGGCAGCCAGCTTTCAGGGAGAAGGCTTACAGCTTTTCATCTCATCCCCTGCATGCATCAGCCTTACTAGAGATTTGAACAATGCAAGGAATTCGCGAGAGCATGCGAAATATACACAAACACTGATCTCTGGCTGAAGGAGACTCGAACCTACGAACCTTAGGACAAGGTACGCAGTGCTTTACCAATCTACCCACACGGGACCAATACCTTGGCTTGTAGCATGAGCAAAGTGTATGGTAGAGTTATTATTGAAAGAATTAAGAGTAAGACAGAGAATAGGATAGCAGATGAACAAGGAGGCTTTAGGAAAGGTAGGGGGTGTGTGGACCAGGTGTTTACAGTGAAACATATAAGTATTTAGATAAGGCTAAAGAGGTCTTTGTGGCATTTGTGGATTTGGAAAAGGCGTATGACAGGGTGGATAGGGGGGCAATGTGGCAGATGTTGCAGGTGTATGGTGTAGGAGGTAGGTTACTGAAAGCAGTGAAGAGTTTTTACGAGGATAGTGAGGCTCAAGTTAGAGTATGTAGGAAAGAGGGAAATTATTTCCCAGTAAAAGTAGGCCTTAGACAAGGATGTGTGATGTCACCGTGGTTGTTTAATATATTTATAGATGGGGTTGTAAGAGAAGTAAATGCGAGGGTCTTGGCAAGAGGCGTGGAGTTAAAAGATAAAGAATAACACATAAAGTGGGAGTTGTCACAGCTGCTCTTTGCTGATGACACTGTGCTCTTGGGAGATTCTGAAGAGAAGTTGCAGAGATTGGTGGATGAATTTGGTAGGGTGTGCAAAAGAAGAAAATTGAAAGTGAATACAGGAAAGAGTAAGGTTATGAGGATAACAAAAAGATTAGGTGATGAAAGATTGGATATCAGATTGGAGGGAGAGAGTATGGAGGAGGTGAATGTATTCAGATATTTGGGAGTGGACGTGTCAGCGGATGGGTCTATGAAAGATGAGGTGAATCATAGAATTGATGAGGGGAAAAGGGTGAGTGGTGCACTTAGGAGTCTGTGGAGACAAAGAACTTTGTCCTTGGAGGCAAAGAGAGGAATGTATGAGAGTATAGTTTTACCAACGCTCTTATATGGGTGTGAAGCATGGGTGATGAATGTTGCAGCGAGGAGAAGGCTGGAGGTAGTGGAGATGTAATGTCTGAGGGCAATGTGCGGTGTGAATATAATGCAGAGAATTCGTAGTTTGGAAGTTAGGAGGAGGTGCGGGATTACCAAAACTGTTGTCCAGAGGGCTGAGGAAGGGTTGTTGAGGTGGTTCGGACATGTAGAGAGAATGGAGCGAAACAGAATAACTTCAAGAGTGTATCAGTCTGTAGTGGAAGGAAGGCGGGGTAGGGGTCGGCCTAGGAAAGGTTGGAGGGAGGGGGTAAAGGAGGTTTTGTGTGCGAGGGGCTTGGACTTCCAGCAGGCATGCGTGAGCGTGTTTGATAGGAGTGAATGGAGACAAATGGTTTTTAATACTTGACGTGCTGTTGGAGTGTGAGCAAAGTAACATTTATGAAGGGATTCAGGGAAACCGGCAGGCCGGACTTGAGTCCTGGAGATGGGAAGTACAGTGTCTGCACTCTGAAGGAGGTGTGTTAATGTTGCAGTTTAAAAACTGTAGTGTAAAGCACCCTTCTGGCAAGACAGTGATGGAGTGAATGATGGTGAAAGTTTTTCTTTTTCGGGCCACCCTGCCTTGGTGGGAATCGGCCAGTGTGATAAATATATATATATATATATATATATATATATATATATATATATATATATATATATATATATATATATATATATATATATATATATATATATATTCTACGAGAGACAATCTCTTCATGTGAGTGTGTGTTTAAAGATGACATAACTAATGAGAAGAATCAAAATAGTTAAGTGCAAGATAATGGAAGTCAGGTAAGAGGGCGGCAGCAGACCGGATTGGAAACAAAATATGTAGGAAGAGATACTGAAAAAAACATGTATTTCGGAAAAGTATCTGTGAGTGAACAAAACAGGTATCACATCACTAGAACTTGGCAGTGTATGTGAGAGTGCAAGCGTCAGGGACAACCCCCAGGACTCCTAACAAAAGATTGCTTTAAAAGAGTGTACAAACGTATGTTAGAGCAGTTTCAACGCACACAGCACCAGCATGCAGTTCCCCATCTGATATAGCCCGTTCAGAAAATTTTAAACATACTTCAGGTTTGAACGTGCTTTTGTGCAGAGACTGAAAGAATTCAACCTAATATTGGACGAGGGGAGCATCATCAGAGACACGAGCCAGCCATATAGGATGCTCAGAGGAATGACCTGGATGGATCAGGGCAGGATGAGATGCCTGCGACAACGACAAAGAATCTATGAATAAAGTGAGCAGTAGGGCTGGTACAATTTTTTTTCGGTCTTTGGGTGATACAAATTAATCAGTAGGAGTGGAGATAGGCTCTATGCACAGTGTCTAGAGTAGGTATGGCAAAGCTCAGAGGAGGAATCAATAATGCCAGTCAGTATAGTTAGAGACGGGGATTGGAGATGTGAATCAACCCTTGCAAAACAATGTTGGTGAACTCTCTCTCTCTCTCATTCTCACTCTCACCCTCACATTCTCTTATTCACACACACACACACAACACACACACACACACACACACACACACACACACACACACACACACACACACACACACACACACACACACACACACACACACACACACACACACACACACACAACACACACACACACACACACACACACACACACACACACACACACACACACACATGCATGCATGCAACCATAATTAGGTGAGTACACACACACACCTCTGTTTGCGCTGGCAAGTTGTGTACCTGTGTATATTGTGTATGTGTGTATTTATTACGTGTACCTGTGTGCTTTTGTGTATTTGCTTGTGTGCGCGTCCACGTAATATAGTGTATAATATATACAAAGCAATATAATATAAATTATGAGTGTATAAATAATAAGTAAGTGTTGGTCAGCTTGATACATGACCCGGACCACTACATTTATACCTATTATTCCTGTTAAAGTGATGAAGGGGGCAGAGTCTGACACTGTATCACGTGAACCCTTCATTACTACGTGATGTGTTAACGTGATGTTGATGTGTTACAGGAACGTGATATACAACATCAGCGTCACTGACCTTCAGGAGCAGAATGTGAGTACTGCATCTAACTGACCTTCTGGCTAGCTTTTTTTTTATGCATGGGGAAGTAACAAGCGCTGTACTTGTCGAGATTATACTGTGCATGGGGAATAGCAGGTTTAATTTAGGGAAAGGGTAGCTCCTGTTTTTGAAATCAAGAGCCCCTCGCCAGCATCAAGATAACCTTTTTGAAGATTATTATATATATATATATATATATATATATATATATATATATATATATATATATATATATATATATATATATATATATATATATATATATATATATGTATGTATGTATGTATATATTTGTGTGTGTGTGTGTGTGTGTGTGTGTGTGTAAGAAATCACAGTAAAAACGCGTGAACGAATGCCACAGTAAAAATAGGAAATAACGAGTGCTTTCATGTGCTTCCACACATCTTCAGAGGAATAGTAAGAAGAGGTAAGAAATATTGTGGAATCATCTGTTATTAAGCATAATGCACAACCAACTTCACATGTGACTTCTGGTGTATCATGAACTTGACACTTTTATACTCCATAATATTGTTCATAATCCTGAAGGTAAAAATATTTTTCACAAAAATACAGTGTTCTTTGTCATGTTAACAATTTGATGCTTATGTGAGGTGTTGTCACCTCTGACTGAGATGTTGTCACCTTTGAGTGAGGTGTTGTCACCTCTGAGTGAGGTATTGTCACCTCTGACTGAGATGTTGTCACCTCTGAGTGAGGTGTTGTCACCTTTGAGTGAGGTATTGTCACCTCTGAGTGAGGTGTTGTCGCCTCTGAGTGAGGTATTGTCACCTCTGACTGAGATGTTGTCACCTCTGAGTGAGGTGTTGTCACCTCTGAGTGAGGTGTTGTCACCTCTGAGTGAGGTATTGTCACCTCTGAGTGAGGTGTTGTCGCCTCTGAGTGAGGTATTGTCACCTCTGACTGAGATGTTGTCACCTCTGACCGAGATGTTGTCACCTCTGAGTGAGGTGTTGTCACCTCTGAGTGAGGTATTGTCACCTCTGACTGAGATGTTGTCACCTCTGAGTGAGGTGTTGTCACCTCTGAGTGAGGTATTGTCACCTCTGACCGAGATGTTGTCACCTCTGAGTGAGGTGTTGTCACCTCTGAGTGAGGTGTTGTCGCCTCTGAGTGAGGTATTGTCACCTCTGAGTGAGGTATTGTCACCTCTGACTGAGATGTTGTCACCTCTGAGTGAGGTGTTGTCACCTCTGAGTGAGGTATTGTCACCTCTGACCGAGATGTTGTCACCTCTGAGTGAGGTGTTGTCACCTCTGAGTGAGGTGTTGTCACCTCTGAGTGAGGTGTTGTCGCCTCTGAGTGAGGTATTGTCACCTCTGACTGAGATGTTGTCACCTCTGAGTGAGGTGTTGTCACCTCTGAGTGAGGTATTGTCACCTCTGACTGAGATGTTGTCACCTCTGAGTGAGGTTTTGTCGCCTCTGAGTGAGGTATTGTCACCTCTGACTGAGATGTTGTCACCTCTGAGTGATGTGTTGTCACCTCTGAGTGAGGTGTTGTCACCTCTGAGTGAGATGTTGTCACCTCTGAGTGAGGTGTTGTCACCTCTGAGTGAGGTTTTGTCGCCTCTGAGTGAGGTATTGTCACCTCTGACTGAGATGTTGTCACCTCTGACTGAGATGTTGTCACCTCTGAGTGAGGTTTTGTCGCCTCTGAGTGAGGTGTTGTCACCTTTGAGTGAGGTGTTGTCACCTCTGAGTGAGGTATTGTCACCTCTGAGTGAGGTATTGTCACCTCTGACTGAGATGTTGTCACCTCTGAGTGAGGTGTTGTCACCTCTGAGTGAGGTTTTGTCGCCTCTGAGTGAGGTGTTGTCACCTCTGACTGAGATGTTGTCACCTCTGAGTGATGTGTTGTCACCTCTGAGTGAGGTGTTGTCACCTCTGAGTGAGATGTTGTCTCCTATGGGTGAGGTGTTGTCACCTCTGACTGAGGTGTTGTCGCCTCTAACTGAGATGTTGTCACCTCTGAGTGAGGTGTTGTCACCTCTGAGTGAGGTGTTGTCACCTCTGACTGAGGTGTTGTCACCTCTGACTGAGATGTTGTCACCTCTGAGTGAGGTGTTGTCACCTTTGAGTGACGTGTTGTCACCTCTGAGTGACGTGTTGTCACCTCGGTGTTTAACATTTAGAAGGTGCTTCAATTGTTTCTTCTTCCTTTTCCTCTGAAGATGTGTGTGGAAGCACATGAAAGCGCTCTGGTTTTATTTCTTATTTTCATTGCAATGTATATATATAATCATATATATATATATATATATATATATATATATATATAATATATATATATATATATATATATATATACATACATATATTATATATATATATATATATATATATATATATATATATATATATATATATATATATATATATATATAATATATATACATACATATATATATATATATATATATATATATATATATATATATATATTATATATATATATATATATATATATATATATATATATACATATTGTGTGTGTGCAGAACAACCAATGTGAAAAAATAGTGAAATTCCAAAGGCTTTCGTGATTCCTCACATTATCAAGGAACTATAAAAATAAAAGATAACATCAAAACATATAAGGACAAGAATACACCTCACGGTCATCTCACAACACCTGACTTTTTATGATGTCGGTAGGTAGTCAGTGATCCGTGAAACACAGCTAATATACTGCCCAATTTTTTAATATGTCTAATGTATTTTAAATTCTAACCAAGTTTTATTAATTATAAATTAATTCAATTTATATAACCCGAAAGCATTATTCATATTATTTTTCAAAACTATTTTTTATGAGACGTTTCTATTATATTCGTGTCGACCATCGACTTGCTTGGTACAACTTTCTCAGTCTTGAAAAAATCTTTTGGATTGTTAAAATCTCTCACATGAATAAACAGATCATTATAATCTTGTCAGTTCTAATGCTATATTTATGTTGTTGTAATCTTAGTTCAAGACTTTTACCAGTTTGACCGTAATAAAGTTTATCATATATTTTACAAGGAATCTTATAGACACATCTGTCAGCATTTTGGGGGGAATTTTTTTTATCAAATTTTCTTTTACTGTATCAGCATTTTTAAATATAACTTTGATATTAAAATTCTTAAGTAAAGAATACATATCAGCCCACGTGGGTCATTTAATGCAGAGAGTGATAGAGGCTTAATACAGCATCCGCTCCTCTCCAGACAAACACTTCTCTCGTTGTTGTGAGGGAAGTTCTCAGGTACACTCAGCCAGTGAAACATCTCCCGGTATATTATGTGTTGGATGACATCATTCCTACTGAAAAGGCTGGGTCATAGTGGTGTTGCTGTTACGTGGTGCTAGTAGTGTTGTGCCTGTACGCGGCTGTAGAGATTGTCAGACTTACATTGAGTACTGTGTTTTAATCGACCTGCATCGCATGTAACCACATTCATACATGCTAACAATAACCACCTTTAAAACAGGGTAGTTCAACGCCTGTGAGAATGTGAGCGCATTATTCATTCTCTTGACTGTACCATTGACTTTGCTTACAAAGGTATCCTGTACGACTTGGAACAACAGACTTTTGAAAGTATGTGTTCGTGATAATGTGGAGGTCTTAGGTGCTGTGTGGAGGTCTTATATCAGATGTTGGGTGGAGGTCTTGTCTCAGGTGCTATGTGGAGGTCTTATATCAGATGCTGTGTGGATTTCTTGTCTCAGGTGCTGTGTGGAGGTCCCATATCAGATGCTGTGTGGAGGTCTTGTCTCAGGTGCTGTGTGGAGGTCGTGTCACAGGTACTGTGTGGAGGTCGAGTCACAGGTACTGTGTGGAGGTCGAGTCACAGGTACTGTGTGGAGGTCGTGTCACAGGTACTGTGTGGAGGTCGTGTCACAGGTACTGTGTGGAGGTCGTGTCACAGGTACTGTGCGGAGGTCGTGTCACAGGTACTGTGTGGAGGTCGTGTCACAGGTACTGTGTGGAAATCGTGTCACAGGTACTGTGTGGAGGTCGTGTCACAGGTACTGTGTGGAGGTCGTGTCACAGGTACTGTGTGGAGGTCGTGTCAAGGTACTGTGTGGAGGTGTGTCACAGGTACTGTGTGGAGGTCGTGTCACAGGTACTGTGTGGAGGGCGTGTCACAGGTACTGTGTGGAGGTCGTGTCACAGGTACTGTGAGGAGGTCGTGTCACAGGTACTGTGTGGAGGTCGTGTCACAGGTACTGTGGGGGAAATCGTGTCACAGGTACTGTGTGGAGGTCGTGTCACAGGTACTGTGTGGAGGTCGTGTCACAGGTGCTGTATGGAGGTCGTGTCACAGGTGCTGTGTGGAGGTCGTGTCACAGGTACTGTGTGGAGGTCGTGTCACAGGTACTGTGTGGAGGTCGTGTCACAGGTACTGTGTGGAGGTCGTGTCACAGGTACTGTGTGGAGGTCTTGTCACAAGTGCTGTGTGGAGGTCGTGTCACAGGTGCTGTGTGGAGGTCGTGTCACAGGTACTGTGTGGAGGTCGTGTCACAGGTACTGTGTGGAGGTCGTGTCACAGGTACTGTGTGGAGGTCGTGTCACAGGTACTGTGTGGAGGTCGTGTCACAGGTACTGTGTGGAGGTCTTGTCACAGGTGCTGTGTGGAGGTCGTGTCACAGGTACTGTGTGGAGGTCGTGTCACAGGTGTTGTGTGGAGGTCGTGTCACAGGTGCTGTGTGGAGGTCGTGTCACAGGTACTGTGTGGAGGTTGTGTCACAGGTCCTGTGTGGAGGTCGTGTCACAGGTACTGTGTGGAGGTCGAGTCACAGGTACTGTGTGGAGGTCGTGTCACAGGTCCTGTGTGGAGGTCGTGTCACAGGTACTGTGTGGAGGTCGTGTCACAGGTACTGTGTGGAGGTCGTGTCACAGGTACTGTGGAGGTCGTGTCACAGGTACTGTGTGGAGGTCGTGTCACAGGTACTGTGTGGAGGTCGTGTCACAGGTAC